TCGTTATATTAAACATGTCTGTGATGTTATTTTGATGTCAGACGCTCTCAATGCAGTCATCAGCATCAGAACTGATGTGATGTTGATTGAAGTGGCCAGCCATAATTTCTTCTTCACTCTTTGGAGATTTGATTAAGATTGACTCTGTGTGTGTGTACTTGTGGAAAGAGTGGGTCAGAGGCCTTGTCCTACAACAGCTCTCTTTGTTTGGAGGAGGATGACGACATGCGCGTGTGTGTGCGCGTGTGTATTTGAGGGCAGTTTTGGGTCTTATTGTCAGGGACAGAATGAGCTCTTTATTAGCTTAGTGGGTGGAGATACACACATACATACGCTAGTGCAACAGTGACACGCGCTAACACACGCACCATACAAAACATGATGTTTATCTCTGGCTTCTCAATAGAGCTTATGGATGGAGTGGATCTCACTGTCCGTTTACCATCCGCCCTAGAGCCACACAGGCCCATTCGTACCCCACCCCGTCACTTCACTTTTTCCCCCCACCATCTCCTCTCGCCTCACACACACATTTACTATCCAAATGAGGACTTCTATTCATTATATACAGCCTAGTTTAAGAACTGTAAACTAGCCCTAAACCATACCATAACATTTCAACATTTACTAATACATTATTAAAATCAAAAGTTGTATTTGTTAACATTAGTTAATGCTCTGTGAACGAACATGAAAAACAATGACCGACTACATTTTTATTATCTAAAATTAACAAAGATTAATAAATACTGTAACAAATATATTGCTCATTGTTAGTATGTTAGTTAATACATTAAATAACGTTAACTAATGAGACCTTATTGTAAAGTGTTGCCGACATTTTTGTATACATTTTCAGAAATTTACAAATGGATATTTGACATTTGTGAGGTTGTTTTCAGACATCTGTGAGTATGTATGTATGTATGTATGTGTGTATATATATATATATATATATATATATATATATATATATATATACTGTATATATATATTATTTTGTTTTGCGTTTGTATGATAATTTCAGAAATATGCAAGGAAAGTTTCCCCCCACATTTAGTCCCTCACAAATATAGCGCAACAAGTACACGACAGGAAAAAACTGCACAATGTACATCATAAGCATCTGACTGATAATCTTCTTCCCCTCTCTCTCTTTTCTTCATTCTGTCTCTTTTATAAAGCAGGTTGTTAAGGCCCTGATTTGCGAATTCCACGAATCGCTGTAGTGTTTGTTCAGCTTCTGTATTCCCGTCAGTCACAGAATATTGACTCTGAGAGCTTTTAATAATCTGCTGTTTAATCCAAGTTCTAACCCAGTGAAATCTGACTGTTTCCTGGAAATCGGTTGACTGTACCACCTAAAGTCATTTAGTCACCGGATCGGAATACATGTATCTGCCAACATCTGTTAAAATGTGGGGATTTTATATCCTATCCTTTGAAAATTGGTCAGCTCTCACTGTTTCTGTTAGACCAGCCACCAGTGTGTGGGTTCACAGGTGTGTAAGTGTGTGACAGAAGGAGGGTCGTTGCCACTAGTTGCAGATGCTCAAAGAATCCTTTCTTCTGCTTTGAAGTCAGTTCAAATGCTCTTTAAAGTGTGTTTGAGAGAGCGGGTACACGTGTGGGGTGGGCACTTCTTACACACGCACACACACTGTAAATTTGTAAATAAAATATCAATTATTGGAGTGCGTTTACAAGAAAATACTATTTTAGTTGTTATACTTCAAAATTGCTATTTTAATTCAATTTGTTAATTGCCATTTCTTTGTAATGGTTTGTGACATTTACTAGCAATTTCTCATTGAAAATTGTTTCTACAGCAATTTTTTTTCAGTGCACTGTTCTCTGCCATAGAGTATGACTTTATGATGTATTTTTTTGTAAAGTCACATTATGCAGTTTTGCTGATCTGGTTTAACAAGACAAATATTTAAGAAAGAGTATTTTACTCGCAGGTGTTGGGGTCAACCCTAGTGAAAAATAAATATACTCAAATGTATTTGAAATACATTTATTTTATGCTAAGTATAAAATATATTTTTATACTTAAGTATACTAGAATACATTTACATATTTATGTACTTAATATAAAAACCCTGCTATTGTACTTTTGGTATACTAAATTGGTTTACTTGAAGTCTGCTAAATTAGAACAAATAATTTTGTATTTAATGCACTTTAGTAACCCATAAATAGTTAAACTAAAGATATACTTAAGTATATTTGATTGTGCTAAAGTGGAACTATTCCAAGTATACTTTTGGTACACTTTAAAGACCGAATAAAGATTATTATACAATGATCGTACTATCCTTACTAATAGTGATATTAAACACATTGTAAGGCTTCATGTCAAGAAATGTGCATTGTGCAATAAAGAAGTGGTCAGCAGTGGTCTATTCTATGATGTAATTTCAGTTTTATGTTTTGTTTTGTTTTTTCCTGGATAGTAGTTTTCAAATATTGAAAACTTTGGACAAAACTTTTCAAATATGAATGATATTTGAATAGCATCACTGCTTATTTTCTTCTAATAATAAGAATGAATGATTATTCCAAACTAAATAAGTTCACTATCACTTGTCTACAGCCAAAATGCTTCTGAAATAAACATAGTCAGACTTTACTACTTCTGGGTCACTGAGAATGAAAAGGATGCTTTAAATTATTGATTGGCTCTAGTTTTCAAGTTATGCTATTGGGTCTGTATACGACTCTTGACTTGGGAATGGCAGAGGATATGTGAGTAATAAAGGGAAGGGATCTCAATTAAACCAGAAATGACTAAAATACATCTTTGACTGGATCTATGAATGAATCTATGACTGGGTTTGGACTTTTTAGGCAAAACAATGAATGATGCAATCTGAAGCTGGTATTGTGTCGTACATGATATGAATGGCATCATTTTATTCCTCGAAATCACGGATGATGCCATCACAATGAAACTTGCATCACTGCTGAACAAATTGCCCTATATCAGCTCTAGAAATCATACAGCAAGGGTGCAAAACTCAATTCCTGGAGGGCCACAGCCCTGCAGAGTTCAGTTCAAGCCCTACTCAAACACACACCTATAGTTTTCAAATAAGCCTGAATGAATTGATGAGCTGGATCAGGTGTGTTTAATGAGGCTTTTTTTCTTCATTATGATTTTCGGTTGCATTTTAATGTATTTTTTAAGAATAACTGAAAGTCATGTCTTCATGATCATGTCGAGGAAAGTGCAACCTATGACAATTCAAGAAAAACCCCAGCTGTTACATACTACACTGACTGGGTTTTCACCACAGAAAGCACAATGTACTGCAGTTTAAGGATGTTTAACCTGTGCTTAGGAAAACGGCCCCACTCTATATAGAAAATACATCCAATGATGACATTGTGTGACTTTTGCTAAGAACCAGTCATCTCTGACAGCCACAGAAATAAGTGTTACTTTGCCTGGCCTGTTGATTGGAACATCACAGTTCAGGATGTCATCATTAGATGTTTTCATCTGTCATCCGTCATATAAGCTCAGGTTACCACCTCCAGCCAAACAGTGCAGAAGTAAGTGGATTGTGTGAGCTGGACGTCTATCCACGCAAACACTGCTGCTGCTGGTGTATTTGGTAGACATGGTAATCCACAGCTGTCTCAAGTATATTTATATCACTGTGTGGCTCAGAGTGTTACAGTGGGTCACATGATCGCTGCTTACGTCTTTGTTAATAGTTATATTTAAGGTGCATTCAGCATATGCTGTGGTGCCCGTTGTCACACGCTTTTCATGACTGTTGGTTGACAGCACATAGTAAGAATTTTCCCTTTTTGCTTGTCTGAACCTGAGGGGGTTCAGGCAACCTCAAATCATTTTGACCTCAAATTAAACACATTTACACACGCTGACATCTTCATCTGACCACAAGACTGTATCTGTCTGTCTCGGCTTAATCTCTACAGACAAGACTGTCTGATTGATCACACACACGCACACGCACACACACACACACACACACACACACACACACACACACACACACACGCGCAGGGTGAGTAAATATATCCTTATGCATTTAAAAAGCTCAGTGTCAGCATCTTCCCTGAAACATGCCATTCACAGAGAATTGTGGCTCAAAGGTTATTAAGTACAAGATGAATTGTTGTCACAGGGATTTATACACAGACAGACACACACACACAGACACACACACACTTGTGCAGGTCTGTAAGAAAGATGCTGTGTTATTGGAGTTACATAAATGGATGGAGGGTTGTGAGGAGTAGAGAGATGTTATGTAAAGAGCTGGGGAAGGACAAAGGTTAATATATAGATAGGAAAGGAGAGAGAATGGGATTATATAAGGAGATTAAGAAAGGAGAATTTATCAGTGGGTTATAGTATTATATAAACTGGCACTAGAGTGACCTGACAATAGCTCCAATCACACAAATGTACACAACAAATATACAAACACATATTGTAATATTTCTTTTCTTTCCTTTCTGTCTCTTTCTGATGTATCAGCATTAAACTGATTTAATTAAAAATTTTGTTTGTACACTGCACTGGTGAAAATGCTATATAAATGCAATACGTATTCACACATTTATGTATGCGTGTGTGTATATATATATATATATATATATATATATATACATATATACATACATAAATGTGTGTGTACGTATTGCATACCCCTTTTTGTATTTTATTGACAGCAGCGCTCAAGCTGCATGAACTCTACAAGTTTGTCAAACCTGATGTTCATGTTCTTCAGCATGAATTGAGATGATCCAAAGAGCATCTTTAATGGAAGAAAAGACATGGTCGTCTGTACAAATTTGATTAGTGACCTACAAATAGATTAGAATCTGGAATATTTTTATTGATTTTACATCATGACGTTTCTTTGTTTTAAAATGTAGAATAACCTAATACTTTGTTTATTTCCAGGTTTAAATTTGATTTCAATGTGGGCTAATGTGGACTGCTTGTCTTTGTGCAGGTATTATTACAACAAGAGAATTCTACACAAAACTAAAGGAAAACGCTTCACCTACAAGTTTAATTTCAACAAGCTGGTCCTGGTCAACTACCCTTTCATTGATATGGGGTCTGCAGGTACAAAACGATCACACACACATCACATATACTTATTTACACAGTAAAATACAAAACAAAGCTTAGACCTTCTCCCTGCTGTGTTTGTCTCTCCTCAGGAGCGGCTGTTCCTCAGAGTGCTCCACCGGTTCCTACAGGTCCCCATTTCCGCTTCCCTCCGTCCGCTCCATCAGACATGCAGGTGTCCGAGGTGCTGCGGTCTCCCAGCAGCGAGGAGCTGCGCAGTCCTGGGATGTTCAGCGGCCGCCGCATCGCCCGCGGGTCCGTCTCTGACTGCAGCGATGGAACTTCCGTCAACTCTGAGATTGAAGACGGGAACGGAGGTGCGTCAGAGGAGAGAGTGACGGAAAGAGTGGCTGAGAGAGGAGGAGGAGGAGGTAGCGGCGGCGGTTTTCGTGGTGCCGTTCACCCTCGTCTGTCTCACGAAGCTATGTTCAGGATGTACGGTGGACCAGGCGGTCACAGAGGTCATCGAATGTCAGAGGTCGGACACAGGGTTCATCCTGAGCCTCTCTCACCATTCACCGTTTCGCCGCTGCCTGGTCCGGGAGGGCCTGGCCTGTTGGCGCCACCTCTGTCACCAGCGCTCTCCATGACCCCAGGCTCTCACCTGGCCTACACGCCCTCCCCTACCCTGTCGCCCATGCCTGGATCCATCTTCTCCTTCAACCCAGAGGACATGCAGCGATACCTGCAGGCTCACACCCAGAGCGTCTACAATTACCACCTGAGCCCCCGTGCCTTCTTTCATTACCCTAACATCATCGTTCCTCACCCTCAGCGCCCTGACAAAGGCATGCCCGGACCCCAGGCCTGTGATCGCGGCCCTGCCGAGAGGCCCTCGGTCCTCAACAGCCATCACTCCAGCCTCCCGCCGCCTCACGCTCACCCTATTCACCACCACCTGGGTGAGGAGCAGCACCATTCGCCCTTCAAGTTCAAGCTCCAGCCTCCCCCACTGGGCCGTAAACAGCGCGATGGTCAGGGTCGACAGACCTTGCTTTCCTCCACATCTACATCCGGTCTGGGCTCCTCATTGTCGTTTGGTAGTGACCTCAGTTCAGCCAGTGGGTCGGGACTGGTGTCCAACTCCTCCTCAACTGGCTCGCTAAACAGCGCTGGCTTGCCCAAGATTAAGGTAATTACGTTCTGTACGATTACATGCGCAGTTGTAATTGAGCTACTTAGTGTTTTGGTGACTTTAAAAAAAAAAGTTTCCCCTTGTTTTTCATTAGTCGAACTTTGCAAAAATCGGACTGGTATGACTTTAGTCATACTCAACCATTTACATTATGTTTTAAAAAAATTAATTAAAGCCTGTTTAGACCAAGGGTGATAACTACAACTGTATAATTTTACTAATCATTCTAATTCTATGAGAATAGCAGAGTCCATACATACCACAGCTGTAATGATAACGTCACAGAGGAACAATATCGTTAGATTAACCTTCCAATTAAGTTTTTTTTCCAGCTGATGAACGATGAAAACTTTGACAGCCAATCAGTATTCACCCGGCTTTAAAGAGCTGGAGTATTTAAAGCAGCAGGCGACAAAACTGCAGTGTGCTTATAATTTTACATTATCTTCCTTTGGTGTGAACACTAAACTAATTTTTGTTAGTTCTCTTTCATGGTGTGAATGGCCTTTTAGTCCAACTTAAATTTTACTTTCAAATTGTATGTAAACGTACTGATGGTTGTCCACACTGCGTAATAAGTTCTAATAATGAATAAATGCATCTCTAATAAATCCTCAAGTCTATATTTTGAAATAATTTAATATTTTCAGTGCTAGGTTGAACAATTCCAAACAAAAAAAAAACATTCAGCTCAAACTTTTTAAGGAATAAAAAAAAAACGTGAATGTTTTACTTTTTTGTTGATAAGTCGTATCAGTTCCCACAGTTCTAGAAAACTTAAGAATATCGGGTGATTTCAAAAGTGTAATTTGCATATGGAAGTATTTCCGCCACAGAATAAAAAATAAAAAAGGTAATTGTGACTTTTTATCTCACAATTCTGACATTTTTTTCTCAGAATTGCATGATATACACTCGCAATTGCGTGTTATAAAGTCAGAATTGTGAGATATAAAGTCGTAATTGCGAGTTATGAAGTCAGAATTGTGAGATATAAAGTCGTAATTGCGAGTTATGAAGTCAGAATTGTGAGATATAAAGTCGTAATTGCGAGTTATGAAGTCAGAATTGTGAGATATAAAGTCGTAATTGCGAGTTATGAAGTCAGAATTGTGAGATATAAAGTCGTAATTGCGAGTTATGAAGTCAGAATTGTGAGATATAAAGTCGTAATTGCGAGTTATGAAGTCAGAATTGTGAGATATAAAGTCGTAATTGCGAGTTATGAAGTCAGAATTGTGAGATATAAAGTCGTAATTGCGAGTTATGAAGTCAGAATTGTGAGATATAAAGTCGTAATTGCGAGTTATGAAGTCAGAATTGTGAGATATAAAGTCGTAATTGCGAGTTATGAAGTCAGAATTGTGAGATATAAAGTCGTAATTGCGAGTTATGAAGTCAGAATTGTGAGATATAAAGTCGTAATTGCCAGTTATGAAGTCAGAATTGTGAGATATAAGGTCGTAATTGCGAGTTATGAAGTCAGAATTGTGAGATATAAAGTCGTAATTGCGAGTTATGAAGTCAGAATTGTGAGATATAAAGTCGTAATTGCGAGTTATGAAGTCAGAATTGTGAGATATAAAGTCGTAATTGCGAGTTATGAAGTCAGAATTGTGAGATATAAAGTCGTAATTGCGAGTTATGAAGTCAGAATTGTGAGATATAAAGTCGTAATTGCGAGTTATGAAGTCAGAATTGTGAGATATTGACTCACAATTCTGAGAAAACAGTCTTTTTTCCCCTCAGAATTAGACAATTGCGAGATTTAATTTGCAATTGTGAGAAATTATTATTTTTCTTTTTTTTTGCAATTGCGAGTTTAAATCTCTCAATTCTAATTGCGACTTCATATCATACAGTTCTCACCCTTTTTCTCAGAATTGCGAGATGTAAACCCACAATTGTGAGAGAAAGTCTCAGTTATCTTTTAAAATGTTTTATTCCGTGGCGCAAACAATCTTCCATATTTGGAAGCCTGGACCACTAATAGAAATGAATAAAGTAAGGTGTAGTTATGCTCAGTTATAAAGTATTTCTTTTTCTGGAAATTACGCTAGTGCGAAAACAAGATTTTTAACCATCCTTATACAGTCATCACAAATGTCTAGAGAAGTCATGGAAAGTCATTTTTCAGTAACACCCAACTCTGTTTTGACTATATCCACTCTGTCTCTCTCTACAGGTTGAGCCCATATCTGACATTGAATCAGAAGAGGAAGTCGAAGTGACCGACATCAGTGATGAAGAAGCTGATGAAAGAGACGAAGAGTTTGCCGTTTTCCCCTCTCACTACCGTAATCATCATCATCACCATCACCATCAGCATCAGCATTATCCTCGCAGCCAAAAGCACCAACAGCCCAATGGCACTGATGCCCGTCTCCACCCAGATGAGGACTTGGAGGAAGAGGTGTTCAAAGCCCCCGCACCTCCACCCTTCTTCGTCCTTCCATCCTCTTCCTCAGCCGATGGTCGCCGCGGTAACCCTGTTGTGAAGAGCGAACCTGTAGAGCCTGCGGACTTGCAGCTGGCATCCGGCGGACTGCCACAAATGCACTCCCAGTGTATCCCACTGAAGCAACGGTTCAAACGGCGCTGGGACAGGGACCAGCACATGGAAGAGGCGGAAGACAAGAAAGTGAGAGGAGAAGAGAGGGGGAGAGAGAGGAACGGGATGTTGGAGGAGAGTGGGAGTGGAAGTGGGAGCGGAGAGGGAGAAAGCCCACCTCCTCTCGCTCACCACAGAGTTAGCGCAGAGCTCCACCGAGCCACGGCACAGCTGTCACTGGAGAACAAGGACTGCTGATACGCATCGACACATGTAGACGACTGCTGATACACAACTCTACAACTGCTGATGGACCCACACTCAAACGTGACTCTTTGTAGATGAATGACTGCTGATACTGACAACAGTAATACTGACACATACACTGCACACTTCGACTAACTGACCCTTGCTTAATCAAATCCTGTTCCCCAGGCTACCCTCGTTCCCCCGCCGCCCTCAACTTCAGCCGAGGGGCTCGCGTTCCAGTACATCTCAGTGTGACCTTGATGATGAATGACTTCACCCACGTGCCCCAGCGACCCTCAGGAGTGATGAACTTTGACCTTAGGCACTAGAGAATATTTTATATTTTTAGAAGAGAATTTTATTTTGCAAAGTGCCTGCGAGCTATCCCTCAAAACCCCACAAAGAGACCTAAAGATGGGCATCAGAAGGACTGGTTTGGTTTGAGGGACTTGATCTTGATCTTCATCTCCAGCAACCCAGCATTATTTTCCTCAGTGACAGACTGTGATCTGTCTCTATGTGATGTGGTGGGATACAAATGCACAGAAAGTCACAAATAGACACTGTTCTAAAACCAGCCTGGTCAGAAGTCCGAACCCTCAGGGACAAAACCCCTCAACACGCACACATACACTCAGACATGATCCCTTTCTTGTTCCCTGTATGAAGCGTGTGTCTGATTCGAGTGTGAATGTGTGTGTTTTTGAAATCTAGCTGTGTAAGTTCTCAGGATATCTCCCTCCTATCCTTTTCTATCTAAACCAGCTCACCCTAAAACTTTTGCGCTCTCTTCCATTCTCTTTTTTCCCCCTCTGGGACCATACCTGAATCACTTTCATTCCGATGGGATGAAATGACTCGGGCATAACATGCGGTTCAGAGACCATACTCTTAAATCTCTTAAATGGCTACTTTCTTAGTCTTTGAAATGACAGTCTGAAGTTGATACATATTAGAGAGTTTATAACAAGCTTCCCTTGTATAGTCAGTCCTTTAGTGTGAACTAAACCAGCATATCACACACACACACACACACACACACACACACACACACACACACACACACACACACACACACACACACACACACACACACACACACACACAGCTTGTACAGTGATTCACCAGGACTCGTTCAACTATTTTGGCACTTGACGGACCCTTTAGAACCAAGTGCCAATTCTGTACTTATTTACTGTCCCCACAGTCCTTTAGCCATATTACAACAGCCACAGACCCTTATGAGATCTTTCTGTGGACTGGGGGAGGTGAAAGAACAGTTCCAATCTATAATCCCAAACATTTAAATACTAACATAAGTATAGAAAGACTGTAGAAGGCATGTGGCCAGAAGTCGCTCTCGCACACATGTACACACACACACACACACACACATATACTGCCTCTTATGCCTTGTTTTACTAGCATGTCTGAAAAGGAAAACAAAAATCTTAAAGAACAGTATACACTCAATATACCTTAATATATTATGTGTTAAACATACTATAAACAGAAAGCATAGCATTAACTGATATATCAATTTCAGGGGGTTTTGTAACCGATTGCGTTTCGAGGGGAAAGTTGACTCTTCTCCTCAGGGATAATGCTGCCGTTCGAATAAGGGAGGAAACTCTTGCTTTTCTTATCATGTTAATGAAATGTAGGGGTAGAGGGAGCGAAAGACTAAATTGTACACAAGACTCTAACAAAGCACGAGAGCTTTGCACCACAGATGATGTGGCACATTCGGATCTTTAACCAGCATGCACCTCCTCGACATCCTGTTCTTACTGCCACAACTGATGCGCGCGTGTGTGTGTGTGTGTGTGTGTGTGTGTGTGTGTGTGTGTGTGTGTGTGTGTGTGTGTGCGTCTGTGTGTGTGTTTGACAGAGGCTGTAGGTCTCTGTGCATGTATGTTACACCACACCCAAGGCTGTAATTCATTTGAAATCTTGCATCATGAACCTCATAAACCTGTGTGCACTAAAGCCATGTGGAAGTTGAGCACAGGACTTGAGACATCGACGGGGTGGCCAGTCGGACACTAGCCATGATATAATGGTTTTCCAGTGACATGAAGTATTTGTATCATGTCTGAAGTGTCTCTGATACCTAAAATGATTCATTAGACAAAATTGGACTGGCAACTGTGTCACCACCTCCAAGTTTTGAACTCTTTCTAGCTGCCTTACTCCCCCTTCTGCCAGATTTGGTTATGTTTAAGATCTCCTGCTTTCTTATTCGATGAGTCAAGTCTTTAAGTAGGCTGCACTTATTTTACGCCCGGCATACCTCATAATGTGAGAGGTGGAGCTGAATTTGAGATGGGGTGAGCAGTATTGACCAGTGCAGTCTGTAAACTTTTGTTTGGGCACAAAGTGAGTGCATTGTTTTTCTTTAGGAGGGAAGATATTTGTTTTCTCTTAGGCTGCTCTCATTGGTTATCCCAGGATGTCACTTTTTTTTATTATTATTTGTTTTTCACCCGAACTGCTCCTGTTTATTTGCTCTCTGATGTCAATGTTGCTGTTCATCCTAATTATTATTATTATTATTAGTTATCATTATATTGTTGACATTTTTTTCTTCATGTTGTAGTCATGATAACATTGTATACAATACTGTAAGAGATCCTTTTAAGAATGTTTCCCAACCCCTGCCTTCCCACGAGCAACCCAACAACAGCGTGTTTAGTGTAACATTTTAAAATTTTGTAAATTAACGTAAAACTGTAACTTTAATATGGGTGGTTATTGTGGAGAGATATAGGATGGAGGAAGGGCATTCAGTGGAGGATCGGGCTTATGAATTGTACTCAAGTCATGTTATGTAATTGTTATTTTGTAGTGTTACTGATTTCTTGCTCTTGTAATTTTTTTTCATCGGGGGATTGTATGATTTTAAAAGATATATTGTGTATTGTTTTATTGTGTAAAAGTCTATATCTCTCTCACTTACTTTCTCGAAATTTATTTCTGTGGTTTCATAATTCATAATTACAGGTTTTAATACCATGATGTAACATTTTAATTCCTCCTTTATTCATTTTTGTGTTCTTTTTTTCAGAATTGTAATTAAAATGTAATCAGGGTCAATTAAACTGGTTAAAAGCCATCTGGTTTCTGCAACTTTTCTTTACAACACAGATTAGTCCATTTTAGTCGTACAAGTAAAATCTCCCTTCCAGAGTCTCTTTCTTGTCTTTAGTGTTTCTGTACCTCAGGAGACCCACATATATGTGGATCTACATACATATTGATGCTTGCAATACAAACGTGAAAAAAAACTACTCATTTCAAATAAATTGATATAAACGAAAAGTATATACAATTCCATGCAAAGCAATATGCTTTAGTTTACACCATTAGCATTTGAAAAGTGCTCCATAAAGTCGTGTTATGTATTCAGCCTGTTGATATGATATATAACATAGACACTTTAAGACTGACCTCTGCTGTCTGAAGAGAAGAAGCGCATGCGTTATCAACCATGTAAAATCACCATTGATTTTTGATCCCTCAAATCATTTTGCTCACACAAATGATATATACGTCTTATAAACATAAACGTCCATGTAAACGATGCTGCTAATTGAAATAATTACTATTATAATATTTTTATTTTAGGGGTATAAGAAGATGAGCATACATTATACTTCATAGCCTATCTGTTGACAAAAGCAAGAAAAAACATTTTGTTCTATTGTGATTGTATTAAGGGCCATTGCACATATGTGTCTTGTCTACTAAATAGCTGTAAACCTTTCTTCTCTCAGTTTTTCACTTTCTTGTTATTTCTTTTTTTATTATTGTTAGTGTCTGTGAAACAGGTTAAATTAAGTGAATTTTGAACTTGACACTGTCTAATGACCTACTAGTAACTTTTTTTTGTATCTACTACTGATTTAACATGCAGTACGTTCAATTATACTTCCAATCGACCCGTTGTGTGTTCCAAATGAAAGTGTAATCATATTTCTGCCTCTGGTTCATCTCATCACTCTGTCATGTTTTATTTTGTCACGTTCTCTGTCTGTCCTCTCCCTTTTACTTCATCACTCACCTCAGTTGTTGTCTGCATTTCAGGGAGCTAGAGAAATGAATGCGGTTCCCTGAGGCACAGTGGGAGTGTGGGAAAGAGGGATAGATGAATGACAGCTGATTGACAGCATTGCAGAGCCAAAATAAAGGGGTCATCATCATGGTGGGGATCAGGTCAAAGGGGCAGTTCTCTGGGGAGAAGAATTGCTAATGAAGGAAAATGGCACTTTAAGATACTTGAGTACTGCAAAAAGTGCTTTTATTTTCAATCATCTATTTAAATTTTTATCAGTGAAAATGTCTAGAAAAATGTGCCGTAAAGAACTTTACCTTAGTCATTTGAATACATCTACCACACTGTGTCGCGTGCACGTATGTTGATAGCTTTGTGCATTTCGACATAACACCGAGAGAGGTCGCTGTACATTGCCTTAACATTTCAGGATGGCGCTTGTACTTGATTCTGTCTACAACAGCGATTATGTAACGACTTATTTGCTTCTCGAAGGAAATTCACAACGAACATCCATTCTTTGAATGTAGTTGTACGCTTCAAGCGTCCATGTGTCTGAATATGACGTTCTATATTTAACTAAACCGAACCGTTTGAAAAAAAGATTAAAATCGGTATTTATATTTCAACGAGATTTTTTTAAGTATTCTAATTTTCCTACGTGTTTTAAAAATGGCTTATGTCACATTCATCAGTCGCTAGTATGTTGTCCTACTACGCATCAAGCATGGGGTTAGGCGAGTCCGTCAGGCCACGCCCCTTCCATCCAGCTGGTGGCAACATGCTTGATGACTTCATCGCTGAGTTTGATCATTGGCTCGTCGAGGCAGCCCTTCTGGCCAATCGCACTGCGGTACGATGACGTCACCTCCAAAACTCTGCAAGGGTTGTATGGATGGGGCGGGGCACAACGGCACATACGTTAGAGACAGAGCAATACGGCGCAACTATTGGCTCTCGCACACGAGGTGAGGGGCTGTTGCTGAGAGAAAAGAGAGGCAGAGTAGAAAAAAAATCGAGAGCGAGAGCGTCAACAGTGTCCATGTCCATCCCGTATTCATAGTAGTGTGAAAGTGAAACGGTTAGTCAGAGACCCGCACAAGAGGAACGTTATTGTGATTAAACCAATCAATTGAGTGATTTTGCCTTTCTATTTCATCCTCAGAACTTGATTGACGACTAAATTTGTTTCATTTGCAAACGGTATTAAAAATGAATAATAAAAAAAAAAACCGAGCTGATCAAATTAAAAACATCTTTTGCAATTCAGGAGATTGAGAAAACTATTGATTTTAAAGTGATGTGTAGCGCTGTCGCTTGTGGTAAACACGCACCTTTATTTAGGTAGCGGAGACTCGTATCGCGTTATTGGCCAGCGCTTCTTGAACACCTCCCTTGTGCCCGCCCACACCCTGTTCCTATGGTTCCCAGCGCTCTTATTGGATACTGTAACTTTTGGAGCGAGCGCCGGCTTGCTATCTAGCCTCATTGCGATTGACCCAAAGTACCTGCCAATCAAATAGAATAAGCCAATGAGAAACGCCTCTGAATTTGTGCTGTCTCATCCATAGGCTACTGTATCTGTCAGTGCGCGCTGATTGGCCAGGCTGGCCAGCTGTTAGTGGTTCATTCACCATTTTGTGACTGTAGTGGAAAAGGGATTCGTATAGTTTTTAATCCCTGTCTGAGTTGCTGTTGGGAGGGGGGCAAAGATGTTTTACGGAGGACCGATATAAAGTAAAATTCCCGACAGACAGAAGACATGTATGGACGTTGCACGCCACTTCAGACGAAAGGACAGAGCCCATCTGGAATTTGCACCGTAAATTCATCGGTTACCTCCTAAATATTTCTGCTTGTTTTGGTAAGTAGTTATTACTCAAAAGAACCCACCGCTAATACTAATGGCAATCCGTTTTTTAGACATGACTGTTGTGTGCAAAGACAAATGGAGAACAAACCAGCTCACTAAAATATCAAGGAAGGACCCAGAG